TTCAGTGTGCAGCAGATGACCTTTGCGCAAGTCTTCTGCATAAAAGCGCGGTTGTGTAGCAGGAGGGGAGGAATAAAAGGTAGGGGGGTTGGGGGGGTCAGGGGGGGGGCTGTTGGAGGGGGTTGCTGGGGAGGGGATGAAAAGGTGGGGAACCCGGCCGAGACGAATTTACACTGTAGAGACCGAAGCCCAGACACGTGCCGGTTAAAGTGTAGTGGTAAAACTTAAGGCAGATTTAGCCTGTGAAAACAGGTGCTGGGGGTTGTTCAGAATGCCCAAGATAACACGACTCCTCAGTGCACATGACTCTTATCAAACAATCAGACATGCCAACAACACACACACACACACACACCCCAAAAGCATTCAAAAAGAAAGCATGAGGCAACAAAATAAAAGCACGTCAAAGTCACGAAATGCCGCACCTGCCACATTGTCGAAAATACCACAACTGCCTCAGTTCAAGGTTCCGCCTAGAAGAGATGGATTATCATTTGCACTCCTTGCTTGCACATTACGAATATCCGTCCACGTGCCTGTTCCAGAATTCCTCGTGTTTGTGTGCATACGCCACATACATCACCGCGTCATGTGCTCCGGGGCCTCCGTGTCCTGATTGTTACGCTGTGAAATGCTCCTGCGATTTGATTTTTTACCAACTTTGTTGGTTTCTTTTATTCGAACAACATCGAAATGCTCAAATTCTTCCAGTTCTCGTTTTTCCTGACAAACACCTGTCTGCGAATAGATCTCCGAGCCAAACTCAGTATGTTGGCATCTGCATGGTTTCAAGATGCTTTGGTTGGTTGGCAGCTGCACCGAAGCCATTTTTCGAGAATTAATGCGTTTTGACGCAGAAACTCGTGATTTCCGGACCCAGGCAACTCAATGACAGTAGTGATATTTGCAACACACAATGCTCACGCAGTGCGGTCTTAAGCCATGTGACACGACATGGCAAAGTAGGCTCTCATTCTGAGACATGTATTTCCACGGTTTGCGTTGCGGAGTTTGGTTCTGTGTTTGTGCACTTACAGCTTTGGAGTCGAGGTGTATGGCGTAAACCTCTGAGTTTGCATTTGTTGTTCGGACGAAATTCGAGTGATTCGAGGCATCTGCACCATGGCAGCAGTACAAACTCGTACAAGGCAGGACTCCGCACGGATGCAGGCTGCACCTTCCTGCTCCTGACATGCGTCCAGGCCGATGAGGAGGCGTGCTAAGGCTGACGTGAGGGGAATCGAGATGAAGCTTGTCTCGAGTAGATTAGCGGCTGCCCAAGGCACCGGTTTTCATTCTCACGTCAGCTTTGACAGACAAAATTTCCGTTTGAGCCACACAATCAGGAGTGTTGACAGGTATATACATCTGAAAACATAGCTGCGCACGGCTCAAGGCAGTTCTCTCATGCATCGGCAACCGGACAACCTCATTCATGTTTTTTGCTAAGCTTAAGTTTTGCTCGGTGGAGACAGAAGCACGTGCTGTTTTCCGATTTGAGCCACCCAGTCAGGAGTCTGAGAAGATAGTCGTGCAGGGCTCAAAGCAATTCCGCCATGCGTTCCTCGCAGGCGCTGCTGCGTCTGGCCGGAGGTGTGATGATGTCGGACATGAACCCGGGGATCGCCATGCCATGCAGGTTTTTGGCAAAGCCATTTTCCGATATGATTGGCTCCTGGCCAGGCCTTGCCTCAGCGCTGCTTTTACTTTGCGCTCTGCTCTTTGCAGTCACCGCTCGAAGCCGAGTAATGCTCCGATATTGGGTGGGTGTCCTTGCAGTGGTGTTTGCGCCCATGTTCGCACACTGTGACCGAGTTTGGCAGAAGAGACTGGTTTATTGGAAGTGAAGTTTCAAGCAGACTACCAAACTCTTCTGGACATGAACTCTAAAAGGGAGTAGGCAGTAACGATGAGAAGCCGACCTTACAAACTCGGGCAACTCTGGGACTTGAGGATCAAAGATTGCCCTTAAGCCCTGTACGAGGACTTGCTGCAGAGTGTTGCGCGGGGCCAACTGCTTCCGTCCCTGTGAAGGCCTCAGTCGGAGGGATCCGTGGAACCGCTCTAGTGCTGCAGTCCTGTTTGTAAGCGGTGCTGCAGATGACATCGGTCACGAGGCACTTTCTCGCCGAATGTACTGCATCTTGACCGCATCGAGAATTGTTGCCGCAAAGCGTCGACGAAACTCAGTGGTTTCGCTAGTGTTCTGAGCCAGGTGCTGGGAGGGGCAGGCGAGCCGAGCTGCCGATCGGAGACAATTCGCTCACAGGGACTGCCTTTCAGGATTTTTTGGCCCGTGTCCGTCATGGCAGGTGTGGCCGGTGTCCTTGCAGAGATACGGCCCCACCCAGCCGGCACCCAAGCGAGCCGAAGCACAGCATGGCGAGGCAGCGAAAGGGTCACTGCAGGTGGTGAGCGAGAACTTCCCGTGCCCCCATGGGCCCTGCACTACTGGCTGATGTTATGCTTGTGAAATGTATGCAACAGAATTACGTAATGTTATACGATATGGTAGACCGTAACGGCAGTAGTAGGAACTTATCCAACGTAGTGCAGTGTGAACTCAACTAAAATCACGAAGACATTGAAAAGCGGAGATCGCGGTCTCATACTAGTTTATCGATAGTTTAATGTGCATATACATATGCGTATATGTACACAAATATATATATATATATATATATATATATATATATAATATATATAATATATATATATATATATATATATAATATATAATATATATATATATATATGTATATATATATATATATATATATATAAAAACGCAAATTGATAGCTGCAGCGCGTGAAACCTACAGCCTCCAACACAGCACGCTGGTTTGTTACAAGATGTGGTTTACCTAGTCTGCTACTATTGCTTGGTCGCCATGTTTGACATATATACATGTGTACATATATACGCACAGATAGGTACACAAATCTACCGATGAGAGAAGACCGGCTGGCTAGAGAACTTGCGGGGCCTGGAGTGTGGATATATGCAAACAGAGCTGAGGAATAGAAGTAGTTCAATAGAAGCCGTGCTTTGTGGAAGCCAACTGGTGGGACTTGTGGTTCATGACATGATTAGGTTGGTTTATAATAACATAGTCTGTGCACCACGTAAGCGGTATGCTCACCCGAAAGCGTGGTTCCACAGTAGAGATACACTTTGTTGGATGATTACACGAGCAAGCCAAACTGCTGAATCTTGCGAAATTTCACTTGTATCAGTACGGTAAATGACGAAACAGTAGGCCGAACACTCACAATCTGCCTTTCCAGTAGCTACCTTCGCTAGCCCGGAATCTCCCTGCGGGGCTCTCAGGATGTGGGAAGAAAAAATTTCAGATGTGGAACTACTTAGGACTACAGCACACGTCAGTGTTTGAGAGACATGAACAGAGTTGAGATTGTCCGTCTCTTTGGGAGACGGTTGCGTCTTGTTTGGAAGTTTTAAAGATCAAGCATGTTGGATGGATGGCAGCTTGTACATGAAATAAGTCGCACTTACACTGAGGTGCTTGTTGGGATTGCTGGAGCATGGTAGCGTGTAGAGTAAGGAGTTGCGCCCGTCTTGGCGCGCAGTTCTTCACGGTTAAACGTGTTTATGCGGAAGGACAGTAAGTCATATTGTTTGGACTGTCGTTGCCAGAGGCCATACAAGGATCATGAAGTGTGTAGGGGCTTGAAAGGTGGGATGTGGACCACATCCGCAACATGTTCTAGGGAGCCCGGCTTTGAAAAGATTATGACCTTATGACACGGCAACTGGCACTTCAATTCTTTGATGTGGGCCTTGAGCGGAGCTATCATACACTCATGCATATTCCGAGCTGTAACTACTCTTTTGCTTATATTGCTGATTCATCACCTGCTTGTTCTAATGGTGAAACTGCAACTTTTTAGGTACCTGACTCGCCTCAGCGGTCGGGCTGCAGCTTACAGCTTGCTGGGCCTGCCTAAGCCTCAGCCGCAGCATGTTGTTGTTGTTGACCTCTGGTGCCCGTTAGCTGCCACTCCAGCCGCCAAGGTACCTCGTGGGAAGGAATCCCTCCGGCTGGAGGCCTTTCTGTCGGCAAATGTGGAAAACATGCGTTTGGTGCCTGGCATCTTCATTGGTATAACTAGTGCATCACAATCGAGGCGTGCTGTGGATGTAGCAGCACATGCCTCAGACTGCTGACTGCCTAAAGATGCAAGTGCAACTCCAATCGTTGCTTGTGGCTCCTAATTAGTGTGATACTGACGTCTGGCTTGGAAAGGATCCAAGCAAGAATAGATGCCACGACGGCTGTGTGAAGCACCTCTGGACAACATAAGCAGTAGCAACAGGAGGAGCAGGAGTGGTACAGCAAGAGGAAGCAGTGAAGAGGTTTATTGATTCCGACAAGATGTCTTGAAGACATGCAGAGAGGTCCGTACTGCAATGCCCTTGCTGGAAGCACGGATGGCAAATTGAGTCATATTGAGTCATCCGACCCGGCTCAATTTCTCCAAGCGATTATAGACTTTGCGATGAAGTTGAGATACCAAACTTCATAGTTACAAACTGTACCGCCTTTCCAATCCCAGTGATGAAGCTACTGCATAGCGACACGTGTGTGTGTACCTATACAAAATGTACATGTACAGATGTGTAGTGTTTGTAGTTTCTGTGTTGTCTCTTGTACGGAGCAAGACCGCACCACAGCGGCTGGTATCCGGCTTTGTCTATGTGATGGTTGGCCATGCTGCAACAGCATGAAAAGAAAAAGAAGATGCCCACAACAAAGACCTGTAAAACTCGTTGATATTCATAGTATCTTCGTCTTCACTGCCAGAAATCTCCACTTGGCATCGGGGCCGCCTGAATGCACCGTCATATTCGTCGATAGTATCGTATGCTTGTTGACACACGGACTCAGCGAAGAGCGCCTTGGAACCTCATCGCCTGTTCGTCTCCACATGTCTTGCCAGTTATGGTTATCTTGATTGGTTTTTCTCTCTGAACCGAGGTTGGAGGCCTCTGTCTCGCTGTAGCAGCTGCTGGCTTGGCCCGGGCCTTTGCAGCTGGGGAGTGTTCGAGGTTCACGTTGTGGAAGATCAGGCACACGCCACTTTGTCGCTTCGCAGGCGTTTTCGCGGCACCTGGGAACGCTGCCGGCCGGTCTCAACCACTTGACCAGCGGAATGATCAGCGCACACGCTGGAACCGCTGGAGCCGAGCTAACCCGGCATGTCAGCTCGTAGAACCGTTGCCCTTTGCTTCTATCTCTGCTCATCTCGTTTCGTATGCAGGCGCGAGCTGCAGCCGACGCAGCCCATGCCGTCGCCGGCTCCGGCGCCCTCGCCGATGAATCCTCTGAGCACTTGAATAAATCAAGAGCCTCAGGAACCTCAGTAGCCTTAATGATCCTTAATGCATGCCATCGCAGCTCACAAGTGGCAAGTGCACAGTCCTTTCAGCAGCGCAGCTGTGGTGCAACATGAGGAAGGCTGAACTGCAGGGTCGAGCTGCGTGCCAGTGCCCTGCAGACTGTGCTGGAACTCGGTCATTTGCTGTCATCGGTTTGCGGTGACTGGCCAGGGGCTACTTCTGTTAGAATGGGAAGGGCTGGATTGTAGGCGAGAGTCCAGCATCGCCTGTAGAGTAACATTCCCGAGTACGAGCATCAAGGTGGCCCAAAAAATTACCTTGAGTTGACCATCTTCGTACGTGTCGGATGCTGTCCGCATCATCTTCGGGCAGCAACAGCTGTGTGCTCCCTCCTTCCCTTCTCCTCGCAAAACCGTATTCGTGCCTTGCAAGGGCTAGATCTTTTTTGAAGGATGCGCCCCCCTCCTTACCATGAGAGCCTTCTTTCCCAGCGATTGCAGCATCGAAGTTTTTCATTCTAGTTGTGCAGGAATTCCACATAGCACGCAGCGCTCCGGCTCTCTCTTCCTTGTACGAAGAAGAGTTTCAATCCGGCCAGGACAGAAGTCTCCTTATGTCATGTTCTGGTATTTGATGGTGGTTTGTTGGGTGGGGGGTCACTGTTGTTCAGCACTACCACGTTGAAGTTAGGGTTCCCAAGCGCTTTCTTCTGCGACGACGCAGCAAGAAGAAGACACTCAACACGAAGAAGAAACGGAGTCACGGTTCGGAGAGTGCATTGAAAAGGCTACGAGAGCCCAGTAGTGGAGATTGAGGCAATCGAGAAGTCCAGAACGTCGTGGGAAACTTTAGCTGTGGACCGTTATCCGTTGAGAGCTTTTGGTCCTCGACTGGGCCTGCCTTGTCGTGTTTGACGGGCTTCACAGACATTGTTTCTTACGCCGGCTGCCTTTTCTGTGGAAGCAGGCAGACAGCACTGATTGCGACCCGCTCAATGACTCAGTGCTGTGATCATCTCTGTCATCTCACAGTTCGGGATACAGATATTGTCGCAAACAACCATGCGCAGCTGCATATGAAGAGCGACTACTATTGAAACCGGGGCTACATGGCGCCGCACCGAAGGAGTATGAGGAAGGACAGGGCCGCTACATGGATTCGTCCAGCACTGACAAGACTCGGATGTTGTCGAATCTCAACCGTGTAGGCCTATTGTGCGAGCATTCTGACGAGAGGACTGCAGCCATGGCGCGAGAATGCTTTGAGCCGCTTGGCAGTGCTTCGACTGTCGAGCCAAACTCAAGCGTTGGCAGTCCTATGCAGTCCTCCTTGCATGTGGGACTGCCGAATATTTGATGCACGGTGAATAGATTCATGGCAACAGCTCGGGATGTCTCAATGCCGGGGCAGCGCCCCCGGCCTCGAGGCTGCTCCTCCGGAGGCGCTCCAGCGAGCAGATCCAAGAGCCGACTCCCCTAAACCCCCAACTGTGGGGCTCCACCGCTTGAATTCACTTTAACCCCTCCAGAACCAATCACCTCAATTTACTTAAACCCCAGGCCGAGCTTTCAGTGACGGAGCTGTTTCGCAAGATCGGGGACTACTTGGGGTTTTCAGCTTGGTTTAACTAATGGGAACTCAGTACGATTCAGGTTGGCGGGCTTGGGTTGAAAGGGTGTATTCGCTTGTTGTGAACATGCTTGGCACGAATAGACACGGCTCGGCAATTCGCACAACCACAACAAATTGCAGCAACAAGCAGAACATCGCAAAACCGTGGTGGTTGGTTGGTGTTCGGTTGGTCGATAGCCGGAAGGTGGTGTCCAGGGATGCTCATCGTTTGCCATTTGATCTTCCTGCGGCTGGCACGAAAGGCAGCTTTTTAGCTGGCCCTGTGTGCGGTTCCATTGCGGCTCTGACGACCGGATGCGGGAAGATCGGGTGGGGGGTGCCTCGCGGTTGACCGTGTTGGAGTGCCTTCCAGCGACCTGGGGACGGCTAGTGTGGACCTCTTTCTTGGCAGCGCCCTTCGGGGAAGCAATTCCATGGCCGACCCTTCGGGGGGAGCCCTCTGGTTTGGCTTCCATGGCCCGTCCATGATCGAGAGCGCCGAGAGGCCGGACACACGACCCAGAACCAGCGAGGATGAGCGAGGCTTCACGGTGAGTGAGCTTGGCATACCTTTCGAGAGTATCTTGGTCATGCTTTGGCAGGCACCATTGGGCCCGGTGGTTTTGTTCGTGGTTTGGGTGGTCAAAGACAAGTTTCCATCCAACATCGCCAACATAACTCCCCGCCATTTCTAGCAACTGAAATGTTGACCAGCAGCAGGACGAGCATCACAACACACCAATAAATCACACATCAACACAACCGACACCAACCCCACCAGAGCACACAGCACCAAACGACAACGATATTCAACTAAAACACAAAAACACAAAAAAAAAACAAAAAAAAAAACAGTGACACACATTCACACGCACGCATAAGCCCAACGAAGACTACACCATGGACCGCACGGGTGTCACCGACTTTTCCAACGCAGCCAGTGCGATGTTGTGCTTGCGCAGGGTCGTGTCTTGTTGAGTTGATGGCTCTGGAGGTGATGGTCGCTGGGTTCGTTGTGTTGCCGGTGCTGTTAACGGTTTGTTTGCTGCGTCGTTCCGTGCGCCGATCCTTGTCCACGCGCCGCCTGGCAACCCACCGACCGCTGGTTGAGCGTCCTCATTAGTTGATTGTGGTGTCGGAGGTTTGGGATGTTGCCAGTGCTTGTTGGCCGTGTTACAGTGTTGGAGGTGCAGCCACGATGGCGTAATTCGCGAGGTGGTGGGATGTTGTTCATGCTTGGCTGGTGTGTGTCGTGATTCCGGATGTTGGCAGAATGGTTTTGTGGGGCTCGTCGGTTTGGTGATCTTGTTTGGCTGCAGTGTTGGGGGATGTTGCTGAGTCGGCGGCGTGGGAGGCATCGTGATTGTTCGTGACATGTTGTGGATAGCAGATGACGCTACATCCGAACGTACTTGCAAGCTTGAATGATCATTAATTAGAGTGTGGAGTTCTTTGTGTCCTTGCTTGATGTTAGCTGTCTTGCTTGGGATGCTGTTTGGTAGCATCAAACTTCAAGCAAGGACTTTTGGGTTCGTCGATATTCGCTAGCCAGAACAACCGGCGCCAAATCCCATTGACCAGCAGATAACCTCGACACCCCCGCCCAAGCATCAACTGAATAACAACGGCTTGACAGTACCAAGACAAAATACAAGAGCAAGCAGGTTTAGCTTCACTATCGCGACAAGCGCTTGACTACTAAAATCTAAGACCAGCAGCCTGCACTAAACAAAGCCGCAAGCAAGCATCAGGCGACTAACAGCCAACATCACGGATGACAAACACTTCACCCAAACTAGAAACCACTCTCGCGGTCAGAGATAACCCCACTGAACACGCGATCGCGTCCACGCCTCCAGTTATTTCTATTGGCACTCGGTCAACATCGGCCAATGTCGCCCCACACAGAAGCAACAAGCATGCAAATTACCCGAAACATGTCTCATTATTTCCACGTCCCACCCCACCCAACAAATCATGAATGGTAACAGAAGCCACGCCGACAACAGCAAGCATAGACAATCGGCCCAATGCGCCAGCAATCACGGACGAAGATCCACGAACACACCACCCAAACTAGCAACACCCAACCACTCTCACGGGCCACGCTTCCACATGCTTCCACTGTCATCCACTGTCAACTCGACGAACATCCCCCGAAACATGCTTTTAATTGTTGAGACCAGCAGCCTGCACCAAGCAAGAAGCATGCAGCCAACATTACGGCACAAACACACCAGCCAAACGAGACCACTTTCGGGGTTAGAGACAACCCCGCCGATAGTCGGTCAATATCGGCCAATGTGACCCCACACAGAAGCAACAAGCATGGGCAAAAATCCGTTTGAGTTCTTTCCACGAGCGTCCACGCCCCACCCCACCCAACACATCGTGAACAGCAACAAGCAACCACAACCAACAACAAACAACAGAATCCATGCCGTCAACACACCCAACATCACCGGACACAACAGCAAGCATACACAACGGCCTATCACCACCAGTAATCACGAACGAAGACTCCACAAACACACCACCCAACTAGTAACACCCAACAACTCTCGGGCCTCGCTTCGACTGTCATCCACTGTCAACTCGACGAACATCCCCCCGAACATGCTTTTAATTGATTGTTGAGACCGGCAGCCAGCTAACATCCCAACGGAGCCAACATCAGTGATGAGGAACTCCACAAACACATCAGCCAAACTCAAACAAGACACACGCGGCGTTGGAGACAACCCAGTGTCGGCCAATGTCGCCCAAGCATGGGCAAGGACACCGAACATGTAAAAATTAACTCCACGAGCATCCACGCCCCAGCCCGCACAGCAAACAAATCATGAATAGCAACCACAACAACAAACAACAGAAGCCACGCCGTCAGCACACCCTACATCCCCCGACACAACAGCAAGCATACACAACGGCCTCGCACGACCAGCAGTCACGGACGAAGAATCCACAAACACGGCCACGCTTCCGACGAACATCCCCCCAAGCTAGGACCTGCAGGAAGCACCGAGCAAACATCAGGCAACCAAGCAACCCAGTTAACATCACGGATGAGGAATTCCACAAACACACCACCCAATCCCAAAACTACACTCGACGTTGAGACAACCGAGTATCGGCCAACTTCGCCAAAGCATGGGCAATGACACCAATCAAAAATTAATCGTGAACACATAGTTAAGTTCGCGGTGGGGTTCAAACAAGTGAAGTTTGGGTTTAAGGGAGGGTTGAGGGGTAGGGTGGGTTGGAGTTTAAGGTTTACGTTTAGGGTTTTCAGGGGTAGGGTTTTAGAGGGTTGTGGGGTTTTAGGGTTTAGGGTTTAGGGTTTTACGGTTTAGGGTTTAGGGTTTAGGGTTTAAGAGGGGTTTAGG